AAAAAAAAAAAAAAAAAAAAAAAAAAAAAAAAAATGTAATCACTTTCAAGAAAATTACACAATATAAACGTAATGCTCTAAATTGAAAATGAAAAAAATACAAAGGTGTAGACTCCCTTAAACTGACTAAATTCAACGTTAAAATGTGATCTTTAAAGACGGGAATAATAAGATCAGCGTTTCAATAAAAATTAAGTACAGCGAAAAGTAGTAACAAACAGATCAAGAAAAGGTAAAAGTTATTTGGAACTTCATAACTGATCAGATTCCTAACATCACCAAAACATCTCTATACTTAAACACTTAAAAGTCATCAAGAAGGATAACTAAGGCTAAATCTGAGTAGTAAGTCGATTTAAGGACCAACACCACTGATTTAAGGAAACATCAAGAAGTTATATAGATTTATAGTTAAGAAAATGGCAACTAAGACCCTAAAGTGGAACGTAGCCAACAAAAAAAATATTCGTTGCAGTATAATAATAATTTATAAAAGCTAAAAAGTCACTTAAATGGATTTCTCCTGTTCCAAGGATTCATCAAAGTCATAGAATATTTATACCCTCTATGAGGACACGAACAGATCATATCCACTGACTCAAGCATTTATTTTTTGAACGTTTTTACTATTTATATTCTTTCATCTTTTTAACGCGACATATTAAGAACATCTGAAGTACATGTAGATTCAAAAAACCATAAAGAAGTCTCACATTACTTCCTTCAATTTTCATCATGGATAAATGATGGTGCTATATATAAATCATGGTAGACTATTACTTGCAGAAGTAAAAACAAAAAAATTGAAAAATTGGAGAGAATTGAAAGCTTATCTTTGAAATTTGAAGATAATCACAGAAAATAAATATGATAAAACACACAATGTAACTTTCGTTTAAAAAGCAGCGAAAAAATCTCGAATATCGGTTTTACGCGGCAAGTTTTCGCTAATTTTATAAAGTTGTGCGGTTTTCATCTTCAACTTCTCTTAGCTCTCTGAAACAGATCATTTTTTCCCCTATCTGACCGTAAAAGTACTCAAAGTTTCTGTGGCAGGAGACTAATGAAATCTAAAGAAGAAGATTAAATGTCGTATGTCAAATTTACGGCATGATCACAGATCAGTGAATGCAATACTTCTAAACAGTTTCGTAGAAAAAATACTGTTGTGCATATTCTTTATTTTAAACAGCTTTAAAAATCCTTATTAATAGTGTAATTTGGTGAGTCTGACTTTTATCACTAATTGTTCATAGAATAGACTAGCTTTGTACTTAATATAAGTTTGCACCTTCAATGAAGCATCGGTTTCTTCCTCCTTAACTAATTGCCTGATCTGGTACTTTGAAAATTGTGAGATACCTGTTTTGTTGGAGGCCTTTGCGCTTCAGTCACCAATCATTTATATGGTCACACGTATGCACTCTTATGCTCCTTTCATTGCTTATCTGCCCTCGTCCTCCTTCTTAGTTCCAAAAGAAGGATTAACTGTACTTTGTCCATTAACAGATTATAATGTGAATAATTTCACATTTTTACTTTGAGCCTCAGGTTTCTTATTCATTGGAACTAAAAAATTAAAGAAAACTTATTCTCTTCAGTAACTTCTATATTTTTCAAACGGTGAAAGCGCACGACTATCTAGTGCTCATCTTAACATTTCTTGATACTTTAGAGAGTGCTTAGATAAATATTTCCATCCCAATTAGAAAAGAAGAACGGTTTAAATATTCCATAATTTATTCTAATTTTCAAAAAAATCACAGTTGCTTTTAGATGAACAATTTTAATTTTTGCTAAAATTTTTGCTGATAAGCTAGGAGGAGTGAATAATTTATTGCTTTGCCAACTTATTTTACTTTTATCATCATCTGCACTCATGACTTAAAAAATATCGCCAATTACAAATACGAAGGAATGTTTTGGATTAATTTTGGTCGAGGCATCAACTGGAATCGTTTTGCAAACACTGGACTAATTGGCAAGAGTTATGTCGATTGTCGGTTCATCATGGAAACTTAGGTTTTCATAATTAAAGACATAAATAAGTTTTGCTCGTTTAAGTATCAATGATGATAATAATAAAAGTGACAATGGTTAAGATAAACTAAAAGCTATTTATTTGAACTACATAATTAAAAGGCAAAAGAAGTTACTGGCCTACATGGAAGACTCTAATATTAGGTACGAAGTTATTCAGGCAGTTCAATAAAAGGCTACTGTTATGTGAAAGCAGATACTGGCAACCAGCAGCAGTGCAAAGGTTGTAGCATCTGTTCCAAAAAGAGGTCAGATTCTGATGGTTGTTATTGTAGTCCCTTGCAGATACTGATCAAATAATTTTACAGCCAAATATAGCAATTTGAACTGACTCTTTCTTTGCAGAATAAAACTTTTACTGCAACCTTAGGCTGATAAATTTTTTATCAATTTTCATTAACGTGAAT